GCTCTTGCGATGCTCACTTAGAGTTTTGAGTCGCCTACATCAGACCGCGGCCGACTTGCGCGCTTAATCGCCTTGGTCGGTGGCTCTGCGCCTCTTTTCATCTTTGCTGTGCGTGCCAGCTACAAATCTTCGGCCATATGCCCATTTCCTCCAGGGTCCATGTCGCAGCAGCCGTGCGGAGGCTGACGCGGCGCGACGCCAGTCACAAAGCGAGGCACGTGGCTGGCTGGGAAGGTTGCTGCTTCCCACTTCCTTGTTGGGTTGTTGGGTGGGCTGCCAGCAGTGACTGTCGAAAGGTCAGTCTTGAGCACTGCCCTGCACCAGAGTTGACCACGACGGGGAACGTTACACGGGGGCGGCTCGAAAGCAGCAGCAGTACTGTGAATACTGGGGGCGAGCCCAATCTGCCGAAAAACAAGGAGTTGGGTGTCAAGCCAACAGTGCATCTGATTGGGCAGCGGCGTGCCCGCACGCCCGAGGGCGGCCAGGTCGGGCGGGCCCGCGGCGCCAATAAATGGATGGGTTGCCGGAGCAATGAAACGGGTCGCGCGCCTGTGGCGACGGAGGGGCGCACAGAGGCCCGGGCTGCAGAGCAAGGCCGCAAGGGACCCTCTGGCCCCGCCCGCCGCCGCAGGTGGAAGTGCTGCTGTTTGTAACAGCCAAGGAGCGGGGCGTAGCAGGCGCCGCGCCCAAGGGGGCGGGACGCGGCGGCGGCGCCGCCGCGCTCCCGGCGCGCCTTGGCCCGGGGGGGAGGGCTCGACGGGAGAGGTCGGGTGTGGTTGGGGCGTTGCCTTAAGTGGTGGAAAAGCGGACGGTAAGCTTTCTTCGCCTGTGGTTCTGCCCAACACCCCGCCCCGCACAGCATGCAGGCGGGGGATGGGGTGTTGGGGTCGGGCTGGGGTGGGGTCGAGTCTGCAAGACGACAAGCCTGCGGTCCTGGATGCCGAGCGCCGTGCGCACGTCGCGCTGCGCACGCCTGACGGGCGCGAAACAGGCCCGAGCGCCGCGCTCGCGGCCCCTCCATGGGTTTGCAAAGTGCACGAGCGATGCCAGCGCGGCCGCCCTGCCGCGCGCCAGGAGCGGCCGGGGGTGCCGGCCGCTCCTCCGGACGCTGTCCTTAGACGGCATGATTCAGTTCAGGCTTTTGAGGGGCGACTGGTGCTGTGCAGGGCAACGAGGGTTCGTTTTTCAAGCCGCGGGCCGGCGCCCGTCCCTTGACCCGTAGAGGGCCTCCTGAGCACCAAAGCGCAGCGACTGCTGCGATCAACGGAGAGGCGGCCCAGGCCGCGGCGCAGGAAGACGACACAGGGACATCCGAGACAGCGGGGCTGGCGAGCACGATGTGCAAAACCCCAATTATCAACATTAACGAAAGGGGGTTGCCAGCAAGCCACCAAACGGCTGCTGGACTTGTGGACCGACCGCCCAGGCCAACACGCTATCACAAGCCGCACCGCGCGCCGCCTCCAGAGCGCCACCACGCGCGCGCACGTGTATGGGCTGCCCTCAGCCGCAGCAGCAGCGGCTGGCGCGGGCTGCGGGCGCGCTTCGGATGTGCGCAAGCGGGAGAGCCCATCTGAGGCTGTCGGATGGTCAACAAAGTGCCCGGCGGCTGCACGCAAACACGCCAAGAGTGGAGGCAACTGGAGGGGGCCAAACGGTACAGACCTCCGCCAGAGACAGGGCAGCCCAGCCCCGCGCATGTACAGCTAGCGCGGCGAGGCGGCCGGCGCCCCGCGCCCGCGTGGGGCAGCCCTGGAGCTCAGCAAGAGACCAACGAAAATTGCAAGGGGCATCCATCAACAGGGGCAGCGCGCCACAAGCAGACCGGACGAGCGCGCGGGCCCGCGGTGTGCAGTCGAACGAAAAAAGACAAGTGCGTAATGTCATGGCTCTGAGGGGCCAACCGGACAACAGCAGGGGATGCCGTGCATGGGTGTAGTTGAAATCATGGGACACGCGTGGGATCCAGCACACGGCACCCCCACCCCCTCCCACAACGCCGGGGCGCGCTCAGCGTGCCGCGCGCCCGCGGCGCCGCGGGGCGCAGGCCCGCGCCTGCCGCGGCCCCGTCACTTGTCAGGGGACGCAGGCGCCCGCGCGACGGGCAGCAGCGCAGGCGCGCGGCGAGGGGAACAATATTGTCATGCATCGCCACATCAGCGGCCGCCGCAGCCGCCGCAGCCGGTGCAGCGGACGGCGCAGGCGGGCCCCGGCCAAAAGCACAAGGTGGGCCAATGGGGCGCCGCTCGACCACCTCCTGGAGGACGCGCACGCTCACTGCCGCGTGCGCTTGCCGCGCGCGCCGGCCGCCGCGGCGCTCGTGCCGCCGAGCACCGACACGACCGCGTGGCGGACCGAATCCAGCGTCACGCCCGCGCCAGCGCCAGCGCCGCCGCCGCCGCCTTCCAGCCGCAGCTCGATCTCGTCCCGCGCTGCGCCGTCGCCGGTGGTCGTAATCGACGCCTTTGCAATCTTGGCGCCGGTCCCCCTGATCGCCGCCACCAGATCCGACAGCAGCCCGTCCCTGTCGTGGCACGACACCGCCACGCGCACGCAGTCGCCCTCCTGCTCGACAACCACCTGCTGCTGCGCCGCCGACGGCTGCTGCTGCTGCTGCTGCATGTGCGACAGTTCGGCGTCGGAGGACCCGCGGCGCAGCATGCTGGCCGCCAGCTCAGCAGGCGAAGTGCCGCTCGGCGTCGGCGGCAGCATCTGCTGCTCCACGCTCGACCCCGGCTCGGCCTTAAGCGCAGCGCCGGCGCCGCAAGGCGCCGCGGCCGCGCCGGCGATGTCGATCGACGCCGCGTGGGCGCCCGCGCCGGCCACGGCCTCGGCCGCCGCGAGCCGCTGCTTCAGCGCCGCGACCTCGTCGCCCCCGACCCGCACGCGCTCCTGCAGCGAGTTCAGCAGCGCGATCGCATCCGACAGGATCACATGCTTGGGGCGCCGGCTGCCGTCGCTGCGGCCATCAGAGGGGGGAACCAGCGCCCCAAGGTCATCCAGAAGGGCGTTGAGGCGGTCACGTCGCTGCTTCTCGATTGTGGAGTGGCTGAGCGTGCCGCCGTTGCCGCTGCTGCGGTGGTACGTCGCATCGGCGGCGGCGGTCGCGGCGCTGCGGCCGCGCGCCGAGGCGCCGCTGCGGCCGCTGCTCGGCGGCTTCGGGGCGCCGGACGACCGCTGGCGCTGGAGGCTGGGCGCGGAGCTCGCGGCGCCGCCGCCAGAGGGCGCCGAAGAGGGCCACGAGGTGGACAGCAGCGGGTCGCTGCCGCAGTTCTGGAGCGTCGACGCGAGCGTGGCGCCGCCGTTGTGGACGCCCGGCGGCGCGCTGCCGCACGCCGCAAGGGCAGCGGCCGGCACGAACGCGAGGCCGCCCGAGCCGAACGCGCCCATGCTCAGCATCTGCACGGGGCCGCCGCCATGCTGGTGGAACGCCCCCGCATGGTGGCCGTATCCCGCCGGCAAGCTGCTCGCGCTGACCATCATCATCGGCTGGCCGGCGCTGTGGGCGGCGGCCGCCGCGTCCGCGCCGAGCGGGCCCATCACGGCCGGCGAGTTCAGCGCCAGGCTCTCAAGGGGCATCGTGAGGGAGCCCAGCGACGCCGCCGACTGCACGCGCAGCATGCTCGGCGCGCTGCCGCCGCTGTACCCCGACGCGCCGCCGCGCGTCGGGACGGGCACAGGCATTGCAGCCGCGGGCGCGGCTGCTAGCAGCGCCGGCGCCCGGTCCACAGCCGCGGCCGCCTCCCCGAGCCCTGCAGCAGGAGGGAAGGCCTCACCTTCTGGCAAGCGCCCCAGCCCCATCAAGTGCCCGCCCAACCCGTACGGTTGAGGCATGGCCCCGCGAGCTGCTGCTGGGTCGCCGCCCGCGCCGCGGCCGGCGCCACCAGCCGCGCCGGTGCAGTCCTCGCTGCTGCCCGGGCTCTTCTGCGCCTCCCGGTCGACCGCCATGTGGCTGTCGTGCTGCTCACTGCTGCCGTGTGCGTCCGATGATGACGCGGGGGCGGCGCCGTTGGTGCACGCGGTGTTGCCGCCGTCATCAGAAAGCTCAGTAGCCTCCACTGCCGCAAACGCGGCGAGCGGGCCGCCGTTGAGCACGCCGCCTGGCGGGTGGTCCATGAAAGACAGAAAGTCTTCCAGCTCCTGGTCTGTCATCCCCATGTGATCCACATCGTGCAGCGCAGCCATGGCTGGCTGGGCGCGCCCGCCGAGGCGCTTCCGTCGTGGCGCCGCGCTGCGCGCTCCCTCGGACGGCCGCTGTCCCAATGGTTCCGCCTGCAGGTCAACGCCACGACCACGTTGACAAAGTCCGCAAAGTTAGCTGGTTGAGCCGACGGACCTGGCTTTCATTCGAGGCGAAAGAATGAAGTCGATCGCCTTCACTATCGAGGCCGTGGCGCTGCCAGCTATGCCCTCACAAGTGCCTGACATAGCACGGCGGACACGAGCGTCGAGGCTGTCGCACACCCTTGGCAGCCGGGCCGCAGTGCCCCGCGCACTCAGCCTGGAGCGGCCCCCAGGCGTGTCTTGGGTGTTTCCTGACCCCCATTGTATTGTGAAAGCCGTTGTAGCCCACCTGGAGCACGCTCTCGGTGTCTGCTGAGGGGTTCGCAGGGCAGGAGGCCTCCACGCAGGGAGGATGTCGCCACAACTATGAGGACCTACTACCCGATATTGGGCCTTTGAAAAGACCGGTGCACGGGGGCGAAGTGAAAAGCTGCCAGGTGCCAGCCACCCAAGTGCCCCGTAATCTGGCCAAAAAGCACACGCTCTGATCAGAGCACGAGAAAAACTAGCACCGTAAAATTGCATCGGCGGGACGCACGGGGACCCAGGTGCTGCGCACGCATTTGAGCGGTCCGTGGGCATAGGGAGCCGGCGGCCTGCTGCGACATCATCCAGCTGGCGCCCGTACAATACAGCGCGGCGGCCTCCGCGGGGACCCGAATGTCAATCGATCCCATTGGATCCGCTGTGGAGAGGAAACAGCACCATCATCACTCCAACTTGTTGCTGAGGCACTGGAAAGCCCCCAGCTGGACAGGGGTAGGTACGCCCGCCCCCCTCTCCAAAGCAACCCACATCGAACCAACAACATGCCACGGCCGCAGGGTCACACACGCGCGGTGGCGCTGTCCGGACGTCAGCTTTCAAATTGGACGCAGTCCATCTGCATTGCATACGCCCCGACGGCAAGTCTGCAGGAAGAGCTCATGGATGGGGCTCCTGTGGCCACCAACACCAGCTGGGGCATGGTTACTACGCCAGTGTGGGCAAAGCAGTGCAGGGGCCCAGCTTGAGCACACAGGAACTTCAAAGCAGGCATCGACAAGATTGCGCGCACAGGAAAACACAGCTCGAAACGCAAAGCGGCGTGGTTGAGGTTGGTGCACACTGGAGTTATTCCAAAGCAAACCGCAAAATACGCCGACGCATCCCTGCGCGCGTCTCTGCTGGCTACGATATAATGGCAACGTGCATTGCATTGCGGTTCAAGTGCGCTACAGGGATCAGATGACACGGGCGATCTGCACGCCCCAAGTTGCAGCAGCTGCGGCGACACGTCACCCCATGGAATGGCTTCGCGCCGAGGCGCCCCGGCCTGCAGCAGCGAGCGCCCCTCTTGAAGACGAAAACGCCCCACTAAGACATAAGGGCGGGTGGGGCCCGGCGGTGGGGCCCCGGCCTTCCGCTGAGCTGGCGGCGTCACTTGGTGACCTCGTGCATGGCGGCGGCGAGGCGGGACACGTTGCGGGTGTTGACCCCCGCCATGCTGATGCGGCCGTTGCGGGTCATGTAGATGCTGTGCTTCGCGGCCAGCTCATCCACCATATCTGTCGCACGGGAGGTTTGAATATATGATATAGGGTTGTCGGTGACAAACAGTATTCAACAATTAGGGTCGAAAACGGGGTGCTGAGAGTGACACAGTGTTTGCCTTTGCTCAAGGGGATGGGTCGCGGCGAAGGTGGTTGCGGGGGCGTGGCAGTGCGTGAAGCCGCACTGCGGCGGCAACGCGCGTGCGCCCAGGGCAACTTTGACATGTGCTCACCGCCAGTCATGCCGGAGTAGGCAAACATTCCAATCCTGGGAGGGCAACAATGTGTGTGTGTGATGTTTGTGTAAGTAGGTGTTTGTGCGCTTGCATGTGTTTGTGAATATGTGTGTGTGTGTGTGTGTGTGTGTGCGTGTGCACGCACTCCAAAATGCATGTACTTGTGCTAGTGTGGAAATGGAGTTATGTGAGCAGGAACTGTGCGTGGGGGTGACAAGGACCCAGGGGCCGCCAGGCCAGGGTCCAGCAGCCACCTCCCCAAGCCAAGCACAACCAGCCCCCACGCAACCTCGCCGGCCGCCGGCCGCCGCGCCGCGGGGCCGCGCGGCCCTTGCCCGGGGGGGCCGGTCGTCCGGCCGTCCTGTGGCCCCGCTCACTGGTCTGTGATGTGCTTCCAGCTGTGCTTGGAGCCGAGCTGCTCCAGGTGCTGCCTGAGCAGGGACCTCATGTTGATGATGCGCTCCGCCATCAGGCGCACCTCCTGCAGTGTGAGCATTGGGTTGGTTTTGAGGGTGTGTGGGTGAATGGGTGGGCAGGTGTGCAGGTGGGCGGGTGTGAGTATGTGTGTGTATGTGTGTGTGTGGGGGGGTAGGGAGGGGCATGACTTGTGCACACAGCTGGGTGAACGGACAGGGCAGGGCGCGGCCGTGTGCGCACGCATGTGCATGCATGCAACATGTGCATGTGTGTATGTGTGTGAGTGTGTGTGCACTTGCAGGTGCGCACTCACACACGCCACGTGATGCTGGCAGAGCAAAACAGCCAACCTGGACGTCTGGGCAGTAAAGCTAACAGAAGCTGCGCAGCTGCGCAGCTTCTTGGAGGGCCGGCGCACACGTTACACCGCAATCAACCCCCACATGACTGCCCGGCGCGCTGCCGCCGACGAGCGAGTGCCCAGTTTTCTGTGCCCCTCGACACGGTTTCGAGGCGCCTCCGCCTACAACGAGGTTCCAACCAAGTAAGGGGGTCCGGTTTCCGTGCAGAGCGCGAGAGCGTGCCCTCGGGCCCTACCTTGTACCACTGCTTCTTCAGATCAGCGTCTGACAGGATGGTCTTGACGATCTGGGCGCCATGCAGCGGCGGGTTGGAGTACATCGGGCGCGCGATCAGCTGCGCGGGGGAGGGCGGGCGGCGCGCGGGGGGTTGACAAGGGGGGCAAGCTGAGGAAGCAGGAGGCGGGGGGTTGGTGGGTGGAAGGCGGAGGGATCGGGATGCTTGGGAAGCGGCCTGGCCGGCAGCTCGTGCCTTGATGCGGCCCAAGTTGCCCCAAACCGGGCTGCTGCGAGGCTGCGGTGCAGACGCTGCGGCCGCGATCCCCAAAACGAACAGCTGCACGGTTAGCACTGCCTCTTCCCTCGCACGCACACACACACACACACACACACACACACACACACACACACACACACACACACAAGGCGACGGCGCCACAGGTCACAGGTGCACCACCGCGCTAGGGTGGCCCCTTCTTGGGCCTGAAACCCCTGCCAGGAATGCCGCGTTGCAGGCGGCGCCCCCACCCCCCTGAAAACGGCGGCGCGGCCCACCTTCATCTGGCTCTCCACGCGCGCGGCCTCGTCCTTGCTGTCGCAGATGATGGAGAAGCAGCCCACCCTCTGGCCGTAGAGGCCCATGTTCTTGGCGTAGGACTGGGAGACGCCCTGGGGTGGGTTATGGGG